AAAGGGTTCCTGCTCCAAACCCCCTCCCGCCCAAAATTCAAAAGCGTAGTACATGCACACGTATATATTGCTATATATATATATATATGCATATTACTTATTCATCCTCATCGTCGTAAAATAACTAGTTATTATTTCTTCTATTTTTTACTACTAGCTAAAAGATAGAAAGTGAAATGTATATCTTAGATAGAATTTTAACTACGAGTGTATATATATATCCAGAAATTAGAAACAAAGGGTGCTCCATATCTAAGACAGACAGAAGGGGATGCATGCCATATCTAAAGATATATACTTAACGATATAATATACATGTATATACATGTCTATTATCCACTATTATACCCACATACTTACATATGAAAAACAACAAATCACAGCTTGACATGCATGAGTCTTCGAATTATCACCATCTTGACACCATAATTCACAGCATGACTCTGCTTGCGACCTATATGAACACACATGAATTATTGCATGACATAGTTATACTAAAACATTTTTAAGAGTTAAAAAAATTATTTATTTATGTATGATACATATATACTTAAATATATATATATATATAGTTTTAATGAGTTTATTATATTTTTTATTAAAAAAATATCATATAATGATTAAATTTTTTTAATTAAAAAAATAATAACGAATTAAAAACTTAATATAATTCTTTTTTTAAAAAATAAAAATATTAATTTCCTAATAACTCGAACTTATACGGAAAATTGCTTCTTAATTAAAATTATTCCAAAGTAAATTAATTAATCTTTTAAAAATAAAAAATATATAAAGAGATAATATCTTATTTAAGCTTAGTGAAACTTTCGTCATAAATTATTTATAGCTTATATATAGTAAATGATTCTTACTATTATATATAAGTTAACTATACATATACATGCGCGTGAAGAAATAATTGGAAACTACAGGGTATACAAAAATTTGGATAAGTGCCTGTCAAATCGAACATCTTTCTTTTGTTGGTTATATCTATGGGCGATTCCTTTATTAGAAGCTACTAGCGAACTTTCCTATCTTATTTCTATACGTAATACATATATGTACGCACTCACACACATGCACTATATATATAAGAAAGCATCATAACTTCAGTGTATCTATATCTCTTCCATTCTCCTCTCATCCTTCTCTTTCAATAACGAAGCTATCTGCTTATTACTTGAAACATACCCAATAACGATGTTCCCTAGCATGTTTATCTGTTCATCACGATCCAATCCCAGGTAATAAATTAATTACTTTCAGGAGTAGCGGTCTATATATATATATATATGTGTGTGTGTGTGTGTAATTCCGTGATCTGGGCGTAATTCTTGTAATTGTGTGTGAATTACATAAACTTCCCTCGAGCTTTGCTATCTGCAGTGCCATGCATGCATTTATTAAAGTATACGTACTTTATGTTGTCAACTTATGAAACATTCAATTTGCTAGCTGACATGGTGATACATATATATATATATATATGTCTGTGTGTGTGTATATATTAAACTGATCATCATAGGTGATTAGGGCTAATTAATTAATTTCAGACATACATGGACCCAAAATATTTTGACGTTGAGTGAATTTAGCATCGTTATTTAACCATACATATACGTAGTTAATTAAAAATAATGTCCTTTTGTTCTTTAATTATTATATATATTCAGACAAATAAAGTTTATTTCATTTTTGTAATTAACTGTTGAATTTACTACCATTTTTTATTTCTTAAAAATTCTAAAATTATACGTCAAAATAAAAAAAAAAATTAATTGATTATTATCTTATCTTAAATATATAATAATTTAACAGATATTAGCCGTTAATATTAATCGTGATTATACAGGAAGAAGAAAAGCAACCGGAGTAGCCCGGAACCCGAAGCCAAAGACATGCGGTTCTGGTACTCCGTTTCGGTCAATAGAGATCCGACCCATAACCAAACCAAGCTCTCTTTGAGATCCGAGAACAACACCTCCCACCGTCACAGGTCTGTCAGTTTAAACTAATTTCAAATTTTTCTTTATTTTTTATTTTCTTTTCTGGTCAACTTGTCAAATTTAAATATATAATAATTTAATAAAAATATAACGAGAAAAAAGAAAAAAGAAGAGAGAGAGAGAGGAAAAAAGAACAGAGAGCTTTTACTATCGTCAACGGCTATAGCACTATTTTATCCTGCGCACTGTCATGCTTGCCACTTGCCACTGAGTCGCTGACACATGGAATAACAAAATGCTCGGAAGCATTTGAGTCATTTACTTCACTCACTGAGTTCACTCTCGGTCTCCGTTGATCTATGTTGCAGTGGTAACGGAGAGTTGAAGACGAGGAGAAAAGGAGAAATGGCGAACAAAGTCTCGAATCTCTCTGATCTGATACAGCGCGTGGCAGCTTCCTGCTTGCTGCATCCTCTAGTCACCGGGAAGCACGAATCCGGCGATGCTACCAGAAGTCCTGCTGTGAACAACATCGGAGACAAGGGAGAATATGCGTACAGCTCCGAAGAAGAGGAAGAAGGAGAAGAGAGGGTTGCGGTTTGGAAGGAAAGAGAGGAGGTGAGCGTGGAGAGAGTGTTGGAGATGGGAGCGTTAATGGAGGAGGTGTTCGATGCAGTTTCGGCGATGAAGCGAGCATACGCTGGGTTACAGGATGCTCATTGCCCTTGGGACCCGGAGCGAATGAGGGTTGCTGACGTCGCAGTAGTGGCGGAGCTAAGGAAGATTGGAGTTCTGCGTGAGAGATTCCGGCGGAGTTGCAGCTTCGCTATCGGCCGGAAAGGCGGAGGCGGCGGCAGAGGAATGTTGAGAGAGTTGGTGGCGCCGTACGAAGCAGCTGTGGAGGAGCTGAAGATGGAGGTGAAGGCGAAAGAGGTGGAGATTCAGAATTTGAAGGAGAAACTGATGACTGTAACAACTCTTAGCAATGTCGGTGGTGGCAAGAAGGGCAAGTCTCTTTCCAGGAGAAAAATCATTTGCAGTCAAGGTTCGTGGTTCTTTGCTCTCTCGCTTTCACTCACCATTCAAAATACTGTTTAAATTTGAAATAACTACTTGGCTCTATTAAAAAAGGTTTTGGGGCAAATAACATCCCGCCATGTGTGAAGAAATACTCTGTTACAGTTCGTTTTCAAAAGCTGCTTTCTGTTTCCTTTAATGGATTCGGTTAGTATTCCAAATTAGAAATCGGAACCTTTTGAGGACTAACAAAAGTCCCAAATCTTAACTCCTCAGAACCATTTTCTACCAGAATTTTAATGGATTAGTGTCTTTTTCATGTTTAATGAACTGGGTCTGGACTCTGGAGGGATTTTCTCACGCTTTTCTGGCTAACCAAACTAGGAACCGGAGCTTTTCTAAGTAAGAAAGCCCGCAAATCTTGACTCACCACAACAATTTTGTGCCAAAACTTACATGGGGAAGTAGCTTTTTCATGTTTAATGAACTAGGTTAAGACTCTAGATGGATGGGGGATTTTCAGTTTTAACGCACCTTGTTTTGAACAGTTGCAGCAGCGCCAATGCCAGAGCTATTTGAAGTAACGATGACTCAGGTGAAGGAGGCATTGAGGTCATTTACATCACTGCTGCTCTCCCTCATGCGAGCTGCTCATTGGGACATTTCTGCCGCAGTTCGCTCCATTGAAGTTGCTGCAGCCGTTAATGATAATAGCAATCATAACTATGTAACATCTGTTATTCCCTCGGCTGTTGCAACTCAGCATGCAAAGTATGCGCTCGAGTCTTACGTTTCTCGCAAAATCTTCCAAGGATTTGATCACGAGACATTTTACATGGATGGCAGTCTGTCCTCGCTACTAAACCCAGATCAGTATCGCAGAGATTGTTTCACTCAGTTCCGGGACATGAAGGCCATGGACCCTGTTGAGCTGCTTGGGATCTTGCCCACTTGCCACTTCGGGAAATTCTGCACCAAGAAGTACTTAGCCATAGTTCATCCCAAGATGGAGGAATCTTTGTTTGGAGACTTGGAGCAGCACCGTCTGGTTTTGGCTGGAAATCATCCCAGAACTCAGTTTTATGGTGAGTTCTTAGGGTTGGCCAAGGCAATCTGGTTACTCCACTTGCTGGCATTCTCACTTGACCCTGCGCCAAGTCAGTTTGAGGCAAGTAGAGGAGCTGAGTTGCATCCACAGTATATGGAGAGTGTCATCAAATTTTCCAGCGGCCAGTTGCCTGCAGGTCAAGTTGTCGGGTTCCCTGTCACTCCCGGATTCAAGCTAGGGACCGGATCGGTTGTCAAGGCTAGGGTTTACTTGGTGTCAAGAACGTAGTATAAGTGAGTTAATTCTCCAGAGATGTTAGGTGTTTAGTTGTAGAAAACTGCTTTGGGTATTTATTTTCTAAATTTATGCCTTTGAATCCTAAAATATGTGTAGTTGTTAAAAATGGAGATAATATTGAAAAATGACAATGAAAAAATGCCTGGAGTTTGAAAAGACCATTTTTTTTTCAAACTCAAGACATATTTTCACTGTCATTTTTTAAATTTTATTTTCACTTTTAACAACAATAGATGTTTTGGTGTACAAAAAGCATATATAATTTAGAAAATAAAAACTCTAGATAATTCTCTACTAATAAACAGAGTCCAAGGTTTCTGCTGTTCAGGGTTGAAACTTAGTTAGGGACTCTTAAAAAGTTAGGCTGCTGATGTTGTTTAGGGTTCACTAATGTTCAAGCTTGTACGTAATTTCAACATCTGCAACTCCAGAATTTCGGAAAACCCTGTAGAGGATTTCTTGACTGACCCAAATTATTGGTTCATCTGATCTACACATTCTGCAGGGCAAAGATATACTTCTTATATAAAATTGATTTCCCCAAGCTTCTGGTTATTAGCTAAGGGGGGCCAATAACAATTGGACTATCATGTGAAAACATGAATTCTAAGAGCTAAGCTAATGTTCTGTATTCACAATACTTAGAAGTCACTCATGCTACAAAAAATAATAGAATAAGCAAAGGGGGAAACAACCTAGCGTGCCAGAACAACCTCCTGCAGCTTCGTGACTCAGGGTGGGGGTTTCAACTTCCACGGTGCACTAGTCACCTTAATTTGTGAGTTTTTTGTGTTTCAAGAAGACAAAAACAAAAACAATATATGACGAAAAAAGAGTAAGAAACAATGTGTTTGATTGCCCATATGAATATCAAGTTTCTATTACTGTTTATCCAAGAGGACTAATGCAGATGCAGAGCGCATAACTCAGGCAACCAAAAGTCCCAAAGAATAGGCAAAATTTTTATTGAAAGCAAGCCCCACAAAATTACATATCTTACATCATTAATCCTGCTAGCAGTATATTCAAGTATTCTGAGAATGACAATGGATGGGCCAGAAACAACTACTAAGTACTGCCCATATAATTGATGACTATGTAGATCTGATTGCCTACAAAAATAATTATATATACCAAGGAAGAAGAGTATTCGCTCTCTAGATCTGGTTTGAAAACAATTTCAAGCATAACCACTTTATCTCCCCTTATAAAGCAACACTCAGTTGAAGAGAATTGCCAAATATCTCTTCCTGCTTCCATCACTGTAAATCAATCATTATATACTTCCCTTACAAAAGCCTTCTTCGCCTGTCAATGGAAATTTCAGAGATTGCCAAATGTGTTATAGAGAAAGAGCAGAATGGCTATCACTATAAAGTAGGTTAAGATAAAATGACTAGTACATGCAGTAGTAACACAAATTTGTGCTTTCAAATATTTGCAAAACAGATATGACAACTCAGTAGAGAATAACTGAATCAAATTAGAATATATATATAGAGAGGGAGAGAGAGACCAAGGTCATCTCAGTTTTAGTTCTTTGTTTACTTAAATCAAAATCCAAAAAGGAACAATGATGATTGAATTCTAAATCTTACCTGTTCAAGGGTCAGGAACATAATCACGTTCCAGGTTCCAAGCCGACTGAAATTTGGAAGAAATCCCTTGTAAAAGGCAGAAAATCCCTGTGATACATTAGCTGCCATAAATTAGCTGTTCCTCATGATCCAAGTAGCTTTTATTATGAACTTAGTTTAATCAATTTATAAGTTTCTAACAAATTTACAGGGACAAAAGTTCCATCTACAAAAAAGAACAAATCTGTATATTATGAATATCTATCTTCTAATTAATGAGAGCAGGCAATCACAAAAGCAATTAATTTCTCTAGACAATACTCCATTATTAGCCCAAAAAAAAAAAAAAAAACTAAGAGTTGCCACGTTTGATTTTGACCTTCCAAAACTTAAGAGATAATAAACACACCTCATTCTTCAAAGTCTTGATGAAACAATCTATGGTGCTTTTGTAGGCAGAATCCCCCATCATTCTAGATTTCACCTGGAACATAATAGACATGGTATCCAAGCCATTATTGACTGAAAAGCTCAACACGATAAAGCATATGAAAAATGCTTTACAGCTAATTTTTTCACTATCACCACCATATACTACATGCAATGCATTCAGGTTATACCACATTTGCAGGATTAATTTCTATAAGTCAAATTCAATGCACATAACACCATATAAGCATATTACCATTATAATTTTAAATGAAAATGCTTCAAAATTAACAGAAACAAACAACCAAAGAAATATATCCTTTGTTATATCTTTATATTGCCCGCAATGCATTTATGTTATAATGCATTTGGAGGATCAATCTCCAGAGTCAGATTTATGTACATAAATTGATATCATCAGAATTTTGGATGCGCTCATCAGGATTCTTACTATTTCCTTGTGCTTATTAAGGATATGTAAGGCCACAAGTATTCTGAGCATTAGCCATCCTATTCCGTGAAATTCCAAAGTGGTAAAAGCTGCATTGTAGGCGGTAACTGAAAATCTAATGCTGCTCTGGTTAACTTTAACAAATACTCCAATTTTTAAATGTTTTCCAATGATTTGCATCTGGCAACGATGCATACTGAATACACTTCGTAGCAGTTTTTGACTGATTATGGGCCATTAAGATTATGACAGTGATTAAAAAAAAAAAGCAGAGAATAGTGAGTTATAAGATCTTCTCCACCCCTCCAACCCCCCTTTCCCACCTTTGGGCTGAATGTAAAGGAAGATGGAGAATGAAAACCTACCACATCAATGGGAGAACCAATACAGACTGCAAAGAGACCTGCGCCAAGACCAGCTAGGAGATGAGTTAGAACATTGTCTGTGAACCCTGGAATTTGCAAAATTGTCTGCATAAGTATAAAGATATTAGGATATCATAACAACTGCATGCAAGCCACAGCAACAGCTTACGATTACACCATGTAATAACTCAAAACAGAAGAAACTTACCTGTTTCACTTGATCATAACTAGCCAATTCAGCAGCATTTATAATAGCATTTCGTGCTATATTAGGCCCAAGTCCAGTCCACAGGGCAGCCAGTCCTTCCTGATTTGGAAAATCTAAATAAGCTAAAATATGATATGAGATACCATATTTAAGCACTAGAAGAAAACAACCTGTCTCACTATGGTCAAATAAGCATCCAAAGCCCCAGCATAACGCCTAGGCAACCCAGCCGGCAGTTTTCCCTCAGCTTGAAGTCGAACTTTAACAAGGTCAGTTGGATTAGCTACCGCAATCGCAATAGCCCCTGTTTGACATAAAGCATTCTCCTTATTAGAGTTTGGCGTTAAGTTATTTGCCCAATGAATCAAAAAACAAGGAACAATGGCTATAGAATGTACTAGAAAAACAAGATGTCAATTAAGTTCTAACAATCTTACAGCACAAAGGGCACTGAGAAACTGCACTCACCAGTCAATAAAGCTGCAAGTATTTTTTGGTACAAAGGAATATCTCTCACAAGATCACCACCGACTAAAAATGCCTTAACCTGTCCATCAAGCAAATTATGCATTCACATCATCCACCACCAAAGAGCCACTTAAAAATTGAACATATGCATGAACTGACATACAAACTTACAGGCTCATATAATCCGATCCTTAAGCCTCCATAAATACACTGACGATGTAATCCTGCAATAATCCCTTTCCAGAGGGCCAACAAACCTTCTTCCCTGGCAATGGTAGCCACTGTACCCAACAAACCTCTATATTTAGGCGGACTGCTCCCATCCACTGTAGTTGCTTTTCTTTGGAGCTGAAGCCTCACTTTTGCAGTGTCCAACGGAATGGTACAGAACTGCAAAATCCATGAATAACAATGAGAAGTAAAGGATCTCCATCTCTTCATTATTCATCAAGCTCCAACTGGAGTATGTAAATTATAAAACAAAAATAATTTCTTGTTCACGATTCACATTATTAGACAACTAAAGATGAACAAATTAGAATTCAACAGGCAATAATTCGTGATCCCCAAATGACTTGTGAAAGATTCATTTCATAGCTCAGGCTAAAACACAGGTAATGTAGCATTGAAGCTTATGAACGTTATCATGATGCTTGATCTAAAACATAAGCACTGATTATCAAATACAAGGTTTATGTGATGATATTCGCTGATCACCAGAATTAACAGAACTTCATAGCAACATTTAAATAAAAGGAAATTGTATTTGAAAAATGAATATTCATAAGAAAGTTGCAGAATCCAGAAAAATCCAAAATCGGTTCCCCATCCAGTGGGAACATAGACATAATAAACAAGTAGTTGGATTCCACGAATTTGGGCAGAAACATTGGAGTTCCATCTTGGATTAAAAGCTCGGAAACGTTCCGTTTCCATCTTCCCCTTTCTTCCTTGCCCATTTCACCGAAATAAGAAAAAAGGCAAACAAAATTTAGGGTTTCTCTCCACCTCAGCTTCCTAAATAGATTGTACATTTTCATATAAACCATCAAAAACCCAGAAACGAGGAGCCACAGTACTCCTCCAATCGCCATGAATTTGTTTGTAAACAAATTGATAAGCTTTAACATCTTTAGCTTCTCACATTGTTCTCCACCATAAACACAGAAAATCCAGATCATAAAGCTAAGGAAAATAACGCAGAGGGGTGTGTGTGTGTGCGTGTTGTGCTGCGTCTTGTGTTGTTTGTCTCTAGTACCTCGGCGAAACAAGCAGCGAAAGCACTGCATAGGAAAGTTTCAATGAAGGAAATCTCGGCTCTGGGCTTGAGATCTGCCATTGATAGCTGCGAGAGAAAGCTGGTGGAAAGCCAGAGATTTGAGAATGGATAGGCTACTTTCTTCGGTTGGGATTGTTGGGTTTTTCCAATTATTGTTGTTAATGAGGTTGACGAAGAGTAATTAACAAGTTAAAGAAGATTAAAAGAAATCTTCATTAGCATCCATTGATGAGTGAGTTAATTCGATATATGACCTTGTCACTGTCCCTCTCTTCGTCTTCATCATTTGTATTAGATTATAATAATTAATCTTCCTAAATGTATCAGCTGCAGCTGTTGGTTCTTCTTAATTGGTATTTGACTTTTTTTTTTTTTTTCTTTTTCTGTTGGTGGTTAATTTTAAGTTTTCATAATTTTTAATATATATATATATTAATCCTTTTTCATCCTCACCTTTTTTTTTTGTTTCCTATTATATTTTATTTATTCATTTTTCCTTTGGCATTTATTTTTTTTTTCTTTCAAATATTTCTTTTTGTTTAATTTTTAATTAAATTTATTTATATTTAATATTTTATTTATTAAAATAAAAAACCCATTTGAAAATAAAATTTGTATTGGTTTTAGTTATTTTTTCTTTTATAATTTACTTTTTTATTTAGATTTCTTCAAAATTGCCATTTTATTTTTTAATTTTTTCTGATAAATTTTTCTTTACTCTAATTTAATATTTTTTCATGTATAATATATATTTATGGTAGATAAATTTTTACTTATATTATAACATTATTAACAAAAATAAATAATTTATCGAAAAATATTACTGATTAAACTCATAAAATATTATATCATTCAATGTTTATTATATAGAATCTAACAAATATATAAAATATTTGTATGTTGTAAATTTTAAAATACCATTTGATTTATTCCGTTTATTTATTTTATTTCCATTATTGTTTTTTCTTTAATAAACCCATTTTTTTCTCATTTAAATAATACATGTTTCTTATTTCTTTATTTTATTTGCTATTTATTTTTAAATTTTTTTAGGCAAAACCATCTTATCTAATCTCATAGTTTTAGGGCATGAATATTTTATTTTGATTACTAATTAATTAATTTTTTGGTTTTCAGAATATAATTAAAGCAAAACAAATTGGGGGCTTAATGGGCCTAATATAAAGTGAACAAACCCAATTGAAGGTCCATCATGAGCCCCGTACACCGCGAGACATACAATCATTTCCGTCCAAAAACCCATGCGCGGGAACTAAACCGCCCTAAATCCCGCCAATTGCACCCCCAACGTTTTAAAAACACGCGCAGAACTGAACCGCACTATATAAATCCCGTTTTCTTCTCTCCGGAACTCTCTCCTCCTCTCTCAAACGAGACCAAACCCTAACCCTAACGAATCTCAATCGTCGAGATCTGATTTCCGGCTATCCACAAAAGAGGAAGAATGCTAGAGCTGAGGCTAGTACAGGGTTCTCTGTTGAAGAAGGTGCTAGAGGCGATCAAGGACTTGGTTAACGATGCCAACTTTGACTGCTCGGCCACTGGGTTCTCGCTGCAGGCTATGGATTCCAGCCACGTTGCGCTGGTGGCGCTGCTGCTTCGATCCGAGGGGTTTGAGCACTACAGGTGCGATAGGAACATCTCCATGGGAATGAACCTTAACAACATGTCTAAGATGCTCAAGTGTGCTGGAAATGATGACATCATCACCATCAAGGCTGATGACGGGAGTGATACTGTCACCTTTATGTTTGAGAGCCCAAGTATGTGCCCTTTTCTCGGTTTTTTATTTTTATAATTATTTTTATTTTTTAAATGTTTTTTTCGCGATTCAATTGTTTTTTATGTTGGAAAATTAGGGTTTTACTGTTAGTTAGGGTTTTTTTTATTGAATTCTGTAGTTGTGGGGAAATTCCTATTGATTGAAGTGCTAGGTGTTTCATTTTATCACTATTGTTACTGGTTGAAAAGATTTTCAATTCTCTGGGAAAATACTGGAAAATGAAGGAAATGATGTCTGAGTCTCCATAAAAATATCCATTGTTTAGGTTTGAAAGACAATTGACATGCAAACTATCTGTCTTGCAAGAAAAACGGTGTAGTTTGTGCTGTAAATTCAAGATATTGGATTCAACTTGTCATGGAAGCTACCCTTTTTGGTAGAGAAATGTTTGATTTGTGCTTAAAATCAAGATATTGGATTTGGCTTGTATCATTTATTTTCTGAACATTTCACTTGGTTTATGAATTAAAGCACAAGACAAGATCGCAGATTTTGAAATGAAACTGATGGACATCGATAGTGAGCACCTTGGAATTCCCGAGGCAGAGTATCATGCCATAGTTAGGATGCCTTCATCTGAATTTGCAAGGATTTGTAAAGACCTTAGCAGTATTGGTGATACAGGTAATTCTACCCAAATGCTCTTTTCTCTATAACTTACAATTACTAACTGGGTTTCCTGTTTGTGCTTGAACTTGACGTTACAATTTTGTGTTCTGTAGTTGTTATCTCTGTGACAAAAGAAGGTGTTAAATTTTCTACAAGAGGTGATATTGGAACTGCGAACATTGTCCTTCGGCAGAATACCACTGTAGATAAAGTATGTACTTGTGGCATGTTAGTTACGAGTTATGGTACTAGTTCTATTATGGGAATCGTAATGTGTTTAGCATAACATTTTGTTGGTTTTTGTGTTTAATTTTGCAGCCTGAAGAGGCTACAATTATTGAGATGAACGAACCCGTGTCTTTGACATTTGCACTGAGGTACATGAACTCCTTCACAAAGGCAACTCCATTGTCGAACACAGTAACTATCAGCTTGTCTTCCGACCTGCCAGTTGTGGTTGAGTACAAGGTTGCGGAGATGGGTTATATTAGATTCTACTTGGCTCCCAAGATTGAAGAGGAGGAAGGTGAAGCGAGCTAGGTGTGACTCTGGTCTGTAGGCTTAATGAACTTCACTGAGATCATTCTTATGTTGATGTGCTGAATTTGTGAAGAATGTGTTCTAAATTGACTCTCAGTCTTGGATGTAGTAGCATTTGGATGTTATAGGGATTACAAAGGCTTGTATTCATGTGCATTATTTTGTTAAATGTTCTTTGAAGAGGAATGCACTACTTTGTTTTCCTTTCCTTGTCTCCTCAGTTGAATGATCACTTGTTTAGTTCTGTTTTTGATTCATTTTTTAGATCTGACTATAAACGTTTGAAGTGAGAATTGTACTGAATCAATCTTATGCTGATGTGAATAGCTTGATCAGTTGCAAGCACCATTGGAATGAGTCTTTGACTCTATAACAAGATATAACTACTACCTGTTGCAATGTATTTAATGAGAGTTTAGGATCTGGAAACCAATTTAGTTTGGATTTTTTGAGAACATATCTTGAGATTAAGATTGCTTCAAGAGCTAGCATTTACTTTAGAAGCTCAATTTAGTAAGACTGAAGGCAATCACATTAAACGGTACATACTAACTTCGGTACTACCGATGACAAAGTTCGATGAAAACTAAGATTCACTAAAGAATCGTGAGGTTTATATTATGGTATTACAAAAGAATAAATGAATGACTACCTTATGAATACACCTGCAAAATTATGCCAGCCAGGGTGCTGCTCTAGATAAACAAGTGAAAATATACACATTATATAGAAGTCAAATCACGTATATTTGCTGGAGAGAAATTCTTTTTATGCAGCAGCTATAGATAGATGCATGCAGTATCACATTTTTATTAATAATTTGGTATAAATAAAAATTTTATCAAGTTATTAATAAAAGTGTGATACTAAATGAACATGCATTTTTGGTATGAGAGAATTTTCCATTGCCTTGCTTGAGACGAAGGTTGGAGGAAGCCTCATTTGCTTTGATTACTCCTCTTCTTTGCTGCATTATAGAGAACAACACCAATAACTGTGATGGTGTACCCCATCATTCCAGTAACTGATACAGGATTTCTAAATATCAGAATGGATATAACCACAGCAACAGCTCCTTTCGCATTTCCTAACACCTGGAAAATCCCAGTGTATTGTAACCGTAATCAGAACCTCAAAACTCAGTGCCATGGAATAAACATTACCCTAAAAGAATGACAAAAAGAAAGCTTAAAAAGAACCCGTAATAGGAACTAATACCAACCAAGCATAGTTCTTGAGTTTTTTTTATTTTCAAATCAGGCGAATAACAAGAGTCGTCAGTCTAAAAAACTCATTGTCATAGCTTATATTCCATGATGATCTTCTGAAACAGTTTGAATGTTAATGTTTTTTTTTCAGTAAATAAAAAATGAAGTCCGAACATTTCCAATCCATTGTATTTATCTTCACTAAAAGATGTTGACGGTCACAAAATGCTTCTTTCGTCCGAATATGTTATAACTCATTAGAAAGAAGTCTAATTTGTTCATCGCGACCTTAATAAAATACTAATAAGATAAGTTATTAGATTCATTGAATCAGTCATTATATTCTTATAATACACGTATAAAATATGAATTTTATATTCTCAATAAAGTTTAAATTCATAACATTTAAACAAAATTTAAAAATTTTAACCACCAACCATCAAATTAGTGGTATTCACACATCAACTTAAAACAACATAAAAATAACTTTTCGGATATAAAAAAATATTATTTCGTAAATATATATCTAAAATTTTAATCCAAAATTATATAATTATAACTAAAATAACTCACTTTTATGTAAATAATTGATATTTAGTTAATTAGAGATTAAGATGCCTAATACAGCTTAAAACAACATAAACTTCTAGTGATTAAAAAGTTAAAAGCAGGGGGAAATAACCTGAAGAGTCAAAGCACTTGTGTACTTTGTGACCAAGAAATTTGTCAAGTTCACAAGAAAGGCTAGCAGTGAATTGAAAAGCAAATACCATAAGAACTTCACATCATCTCTCGAAAGAGAAACCGCGATCCCAACAACGTCTCCTTCCATCAAGACAGTAGCCGGAATGAGAACAGTAACAGCTACCGGAGCCATGTACATGAGGAGGTTCATGGGATTGAGCTTTTCTCTAATGAAAATAAAAGAATAACCCACAATCAAGATAACACCAATTATATATATATATACATACAGTCTGCATTTCCACTAAGGAAATAAACGAGTGTAGGGATTGTTGATTACCCTTCGGTGGAGAGTAAAATCCCTTGAAGCACAGACTTGAATGCACGAGCTGCGGTTGCAGCAGCACATACTATAAACCCAAAGAGATGAAAGCTCGGTTCTCCCTTCAACCATGAAAATGACAGTCAAATCAGGTACCAACATTGTATTTTTTTTTTGTTTTTGTCTATTAATAGTTTTCGTCTCTGACTTGCTATATTGTATATGCCCAATTATCCTATGAGCATTATATTGTATTACCGCATTTAGTTATTGATTATTACCGACTGTTGTTATTTTATACCATCATTTACCATTATTACATATGCCTCCACGGTCCTGCAAAAAGAACTGGTAACTACAAGTATCTACATGCAATAAATAATGGCTAAAAATTATAAAAATGTAGCCAGAGTGAGTAACCATTGATGGTTAAAAATCAACACAAATCGAATTTGCTAATTAAAAATAGTCGAATCATTTTGATTTATATTAATATGGGTTTAGTTGAATAATTGGTACGTTCGTTTTGTTATAAGAAATTATAAATTCGAGTGAGAGACAATATTTGGGTGCATTTTTATTCGTAAATTATTTGTTAGTATGTTATAATTAATTTCTATATATTAAACGAATGAATTTCTGTCTAGAAAATATTTGGATTATTCAAAAGTTGCTGAGGATTTCCCTCGTCATGCATAATCACAAACAGCAAACAATCAACATCAAATAGTAAAATGGCCGATAGGAACCAATTTTGAAATCAGATTATGTCAAAAAGAACAAAGAAAATAACGCGAGATGTTTACCCCACTGGCAATAATAACACCAGCAACCACAGGAAGGAGGGCAGCGTAGGTAAGGAAGGCTTCTCTTGTACGGGTCATCAGGTAAGCGAAAACCGCAGTGAAAAACGGCGTCGTGGCACCCACGGCCTGATTAAAGGAGACGGGGAGATACTTGAGGGAAATGTTGCCGCCGACGACGGAGAGGCAGAAGATGAGACCCAGAGAGGATATCTTGAAGAACTGCACCCGCGACCTGATGGCCTGCATTGGGGTGACGGTGAGCCAAGAAATGGCGAGGTAGCTGAGCGTCGAACAAGCCAGCATGTGACAGAGAGTGAGGAAGATAGGGTAGCGGAATCCGTAGTTGCTGAGCAAGTATTTGTTGAGTAATAACACGCCAATGTTTGAGGAATACCAAGCTGCGATTATCCCCAAGGTGACAAGAGAGCCTGATGTTTTCATGAGTTTTCTTTTTTCTTTTTTTTTTTTTTTCCAACTTTTCTATAGGATTGAATGTGAAAATGTAAAAGAAAATAAAGAAGACGAGGAGAAAGAGGAAAAGAAAATTACTGGAGTGGGAGAGAGAGGAAAAAGGAGGGATGTTCATTTGTGTGTGTGTTTTTTATGTTAATTATTTTTAAGTTGTTAATTTTAAGGAGTGAAGAGGCAAAGTCGGAGGGAGAGATGTCTTATATTCAATGGTTTGTGTGAGTTACATGATTTTTCCTTTCTATTTAAAAATTTGATGACAGACGGTGAGGTTAACTTTTTCATGTATGATTAGGGTTAAAACTAAACCAATACTCACTGCCTATTTTACTAATATAAACTTGTAGGAGCAAACTTAATTAGCACCACCATTAACAATTAATAATTTTAGAAGTAAGATTTACTACGATCTAAACCGCTATCTAGCTAGTTCATACACAGACAGATTTAAGTTTAGCTTTTACCCAAAAAAAAAATAAATAAATAAAGGTTTAGCTTAATCACAAGTTTTTTTACAATTCAATTTGACAAAGACTTGAATTAAGCTTCAGTTCATCTGTAGTCTCAATGGAGAAACTTTATAATAACTGGTAAATATTTTACTGAAAAACTTACGACCGTATTCAACCATATTAAATATATTTTTTAATTTATAACTATATATATATGTATATTCATACAATTGATAAGTTTCTTTTATATGTCACGCATTTAATTTACTTGGACAAGTTATCTAAAAATTTGTTTCTACAAACGAAAGTTGAATTAAAAAAATCACCTAACCATATTATTGTTCGTTCTACCAGATCCCGCAAAGTCTGAACTGGAAGCTGGCTTCTCCAAATCACTGAAACATTCAAACGTCACTGATATTATCCCTTGCAGAGATGCCAGATAAAAATTAATGAAAGAAATAGAGAGGAGCAAGAGAAATCTGGGTATAACTTAACTGGAGATAAAGATTAAAGGAATTAGGGTCTGTGAAATTGTCAAGTATTCTTGCATTCAACAATTTTATCTGGCTATTTCAAGATTTTTTCTTCACCTAATTTACAACATTCTTCAACCTTCCTCGGGTTTTCCCTCCAACTCTTTCGGGGAAAAGGAAAACGAAGGAAATGAGGAAAGGGATTTTTTTTATAAAAAAAAAAAAAAGAAAAAGAAAAAAGATACTAGGAAAACAAAATAAAAGCAAACAACAGTACGATATACTGATAAAAAAGCTTTTCAAGGGGGAAAGGGAAGAAATGTTTGTATAATCTCAGAAAAAAGTCATCAGGAGGACTGCCTCCAATCTTCACCAGCATATACTGCTTGATCTCCCAACTCTTCCTCAATCCGAAGTAACTGCACCAAACTTAAAGGTGTTAGTTTGGTTGTACTTGTTGCCCGCCATTTCAATCAAGAAAAATATCTTTCAATCACACAGAGAGAATTGGGCCTATATATATATAATTGTAGACCCATAGGCTATAGATCTTCTAGGCTCCAAAGAAGCAGAGCAGAATCCTTAGATTGAATCTGATGTGGGAATCCCTGTTGTTACAGTTTTTATCCTAGCTAACGACATGCGTAAAGCCAAAAATGTGGAGGCAGGATGCGGACATGTGTGAGTATTTGTATTTAACAGAGAGAAATAACAGAAAATGAGAAAATGGTAAGTGTAGATGTAGTGGCCGAAATACATGGAACTAGAAATGCTCCTCCAAGTTGCAAAAAGACAGACTGAATCTAGACCTTCGAGAAGTCTTGATAGTATCAATTACTAATTTAAAAGATGTTTCTCAAAAAGATCAATCTTAAAGGACTTGGACAAGACACCAGACATTTTTCTCGGATATAGCAACTGTGTGAGCTTGGTTGACTGCAATGTGCTGACAGCTCACTACACTACATCAGATGATGCTACGACTTAGAAGATTATAAGATATATTCTGATAAACAACTCTCTTTTCTTTAAAAAAATTCTATACCACTAGTTATTTCAGAAATTTATTATCCCATTGTCTACGTTGGTTCCATAAGTATTTCAAAAGAAGCACGAATAAGACAGCAGACCTGGTTGTACTTCACAAGCCGCTCTCCTCTACAAGGAGCACCTGCTTTGATCTGACCAGTGTTAAGACCAACAGATAAATCAGCTATGAAAGAATCTTCAGTTTCCCCACATCTATGAGATGTCACTATTCCCCAGTGAGCATCCTTGGCCAGTTTCACCACTTCAATGGCTTCTGTCACAGTCCCAATTTGATTTATCTGAAATCAAATAAATTAATCATCATTCTAAAACTTTATGTCTTGGACCACAAAGTTACATTTTTGAAATAATTTCTTCCAGATGTTCAGGATTAAATTTAGCATCTCACAGAAAAATTATCCCCTTTACCAGCCTTACATGCGGCTAATTTCTAAAACATGAGGAACAGAATAAGAACCTTGGATCACAAAATTTCAATTGTATAATATTCTATTTTCAAATATTCGGGATTAATATTTAGCTTCTTATGGAGACTTGTTCCCCTTCCTACAAAGTTTCCACCATCTATATAACAGCTAATTTCTCAAACATAACATACTCAGATAAAAATAAGAAACAAAAGAAGCCATGAAAGCAGTGAATGGCGAGTACCTTGAGAAGAAGAGCATTGCAAGTTGACTCACGTATCGCTCTCTCAATACGTTTTGGATTTGACATCAACAAATCATCCCCCACTACCTGCAAAACCATCCTCACTTCAGAAAGATGTAAACAACATAGGTAGAGGGATAAAGAGCCAGAAAAGTCTAAGATGACAGTCCAACAACCAGAAAAGAGCATCTAGATTTCTTTCACATATGCAACATCTAATATGGTCCCCAGTATATGCAAACTTTTTTCTTTAAAAATAAAAATGCGAAGAATATAAATGTGACGGCACCGAAGGGGTACCACCCATGCACAAAAAATTTACATGTCTATGAATATATCTATAAAATAGCAAAAGTCATCTAAACTATCAAGATTAAGCTCTAAAACAATAGAGCCAAAAAAGTGAAACCATCTATTCTTGATAGTGGCAAAATCAACCTCTTTACCCTCAAAAGTGTCATTGTTCCTCTCTTTCCAAATAACCCACACAATAGTTAATGGAATAAGTCTAAGGTTTTTGTTTCTGCTGCACATCCGTTCTCACGCCAATAGCTCACTTTTAACAGACCCGGATACAGCCCAAGAGATCCCCAGGAGACTGAGAACCATAGACCAGAGCATGTAGGAGACAGGACACCAGAGAAGCAAATGATTGCAGGATTCAGAGCAACATTTACATAGGAAACGTCTGTTAGCCGTGGTTAACCCTTTCCTCATGAGGTTGTCTATAGTTAAAATGCATTCTTTCGTAGCTTCCCAAGCATAAAAGAAGATCCTTGGGAAGGAAGTATATGCAAACTACCAAATGATTGTTGTGGTCCAACCTATACCAACTTTCCAGTAATGGAATTGTATACTTCTATTCATTATTTACAACCTTCTCCTCATTCTAAACCAAGTTAGAGATTGCATTCAATCACTGATGAGGAAAAAACTGAACAAACCTGACAAATCACAAGACTGGAAAAATTCCTGACATGCTCCCAATCCTCCTTATCAAAGGGATCTTCAATTGACACAATTGGATAATCTAGGGACCAAAAAAGTGGGGAAGACATGGAAAGATGAAACAATACTTGAAGAAATTGAAATTGGAAAAAAAAAAGAAGAAATCATATGCATGTCAAGAGAACTACCAGCACAAAGTTCTTTGTACATTTCGATCATGTCC